TATAAATAACTATCAATTCATCGGCTCCCATGGTATTCTTATCTATATTTCAATCGTTGTCCGATACAGCCTCCAATGATGCATAACCAGTCACAGTTCGGTGGGGCACCAAGCGGCCAATCTTCAATGGTATGTAATATATCGTTGCACTGATGGGCTGTTGCTGTTCTGGTACCTACTGTGTATTGTATTTATCAGGGTGCGTCTGTTGATGGTTGATGGATGTATTGGATTGATGTCCACTTACTGTTGCTTTTAGTCGTTCATTATTGAGTGTTGAGTGTGTTGTAAAGTGTGTCTATGAACACTTGGTGTCGCGAATCCTGCGCACAGTCCTGCTGGTTACAATGTAGAAGAACAAACCTCGCAAGATGTCGTTCTTAACAACTCATCTAAATACACATTTAAGGTCAAGGTGGATTCCATTGTTATTATATATAGACAGTAATTAGAACGACATTTGTGGGGTATTTCGTTGCAGAGGTGCCATGTCATATAGAATGGTTTAGCGCTCATCTACGAGTGCCATAAAACTTTCTATGACTCATTTGCCAAAAATGTAGGCAATCTAATGCGCCACTCACCCTCTGCACCTCCCACTATTACGGCCGACAAGCTCGAAGCGCGTTACAGCCGTATCTAGTCTCCGGTCTATCCGTACATACTCATCTGCATACCTTTCATACTCTCACATACCTGTACTGCTCCGCTGTTCTATTTATAGGGCCAACAACCACCCGCACAGCCAGCACCCCCCCCTGCACCCGCCCCCAAGGCTCCAATTCCTGAGAAGGACATGCCCATGGTCAACCAAATCAAAGCCGCCATTGACAGAGGGAGTGCTGTACAAAATATGGTACGTGAACGGCAATGGGATAGCTTCACCCATACCGGGCCGGTCGAACACACGTGTGTTATTTTAGGTTCATTTGGATCCTGATCCACTTGAATTGTTTTAGATTCATTTGGATCCTATAACATTATTTTAGGTTCATTTGGATCCTAATAAACTAGTGTTTTTTTAAGGTTCATTTGGGTCCTAATACACTGTGTGTTATTTTGGGTCCATTTGGGCCCTGGACCACCCCATGCACCTGTGCATTAGGACATTCTGCTGAGTCTGTTTTCTTCTTACGACTTACGAGTTACATAATCATATGCGTCATGACGGTTGAGATGAGACATGTGTTACAAGTTGGTTGACATGAGCTGTTTTGCTAGCTTTGACTATTGGGGTTATGTTTTAGTAGCTTGGTGTAGATCTTCACTGTTCTCAGCATAGTTCATTCTGCACATGTTTTGAGCTTATTACTGGGTGTTTATAAACACCTACGATTCCATTCTGCTCATACTAGTGTGTTCCTATTACTGAGTGTTTTAAACACCTGCGATTGATGCTCATCCCTGTCCCTGTTATCTCCCCCCAGACTGCCAAACGCAAAGTAGACGACCTCACGCGTCGCATGGAGGGCTTCTACGATGCACTCCGCACGAACGCTATCGACCCCACACTACTACAGCACATGACCGCTCTGGCTCAAGGTACGTGCACGCGCGAACAGGGATGCTGTGTAATGTCTGGACGTACTGACGTAAGGTTGCAAATACACGTATACGTAGATTGGGCCACGTGTGCTGTGGTGTGTGTGTATGCATGTGTATGGTTGCATATGGGGCATTGTGGGGTCTGACTAGTCTGTCATTCTCAATGCCTTGGCGCAGATTCAGCTGATTTATTATACTGTGCGAACATGTATTACCACAACCTCTCCCTTTTTTAAGCCCCATCATAAGCCATTTCTGTCCCAAATCATCGAGCAGCCTCATACGATACACACAAACTATCGGTTTCTGTACCGAATTCTCGTCTCAAATTATCGAGAGCGGTGCAATGCGGCTACATTCTGAAGTGCTGTAAGGATCGATATACACGTATTCGCTTGTAAGCGTTTTTCACGTGTTGCGCTGGGGTGTTCTCACACTAGTTGACTGACTGTTCCACCAATACGTTTTCCTTGCAGCCCTGGAGGCGCGCGACTATGGGCAGTGCCAGGCCATCTACCAACACATCGTAACGACTATGCCCACAGACACCATCAGTCACTGGCTGGTGGGTGTGAAGACGCTGTACCAGATACTGCAGCAGAACCGTTGCTAGTGGGTTCGGGTGTGTATAGCTCGAGTAGGTTGTTTTTAACTGGTGGTATGGGCGTATGCAGAGTGAGTGCTGGTACATCTGTGCACCTGAATGTATACACAGTACCAGGCTGAGAGCCGGTATAGGCACGGTGGCCGGGAGAGGAGAGGAGAGGTGGTATGCGATACATTTGGAGAACTTCGGGACAGAAGGTGTGCAGCGATCTTCAAAGAACAATAAAATAAAATAGAACTATAGCGCTACTCGGATGATAGTCGCTTAGTCAGACTCAATAGGATGGGTGGCGTTACAAGCCGGTATGATATGTGACGTATTGGTCGGTATGATAGGTGACGTATTAGTCGGTATGATATGTGACGTATTAGTTGGTATGATATGTGACGCA